GGTGATTTTAATAATATTGAATAATCTCCAATTAAAATTTACAAAGATCGATCCATTTTAATCGGAAGATGAAGTTAAATGCGTATTACAATTCGAATAAAGCTACATCACAATTTTATAATTGGAATAATTTAGATACATTTTCAAATAATAAGTCAGTTTCACGCTAGTTCTTTTAAAGTAAATTTGTGCATAACATTTAGATATCTACTATTTGTATGTTTCACAGCATGCTTTCGATAAACATCGACTTCAAATCACTGCGGTTGTTCTGGCTATTTCACACAATTAACAAGAAAATGATACCTTATTCTTTTGCATAATCATGCAATGAAAATAAAAATTACATAAACGGATGATCACACTTGATATTATTTAATAAAAATGTAATTTTTCCAAAATATCGTATAGAAAAATCGATACATTTTCACACTCGTTTTGCTATATCGTAAACTAAGTCGAAACTACTTAGTAGAAGTCTGAAATGCGACTATGAATAGAGGTAAATTTTAAGTTGGTACTTAAATTTAAGTTGCAATTTTGTTAGTTTCGACTTAGTTGCTGGACTATGAATACGCGCCAAGATGTAGGATCAAGCCTTTTTATCGAACAAAATGTCGTAAATGAATGTATTGGGAGTATTAATAAAAGTATGTTCTGATATATATATTCTCTCGGTCAAAGCTCGTTTTTTAATCACCCGTTTACACAGGCAAATCTCAGATTATTATCCGTAAAATTTTTTGTGCTTGTTATTCTCACATCTCAAGGAAAGGTTATGTTTCTTCTCTGTGCCACCGTGATCACTTTTTTCTGCAATATAAAGCAATTTAAATATGTTTTAAGTTAATATTTTATTAAAAACACATTTACAAACCCAGAATGATAGAAAACAAGATTGCGCCAATCGAGCTGAGAGCAACTGGGTGTGACGTCGCATTATTTTGAGAATGAGAGTGTAAAGAATAATTTTGAAGAAGAGGAACCAGCGAACAAGTGGTGATGTAAAACTAAGCTGAATTGTACCTACTCTTCAGCTTCTTAAATTTGAACGTACATTCGGTACAAGCACATTATTTTAGGTACATTTGGAACGTAGTAAAATATTGTTTCATGTAACTAGAAAAACAGTTATGGTACAAAAGGAAGGTGTAGTCCACCAACTACCAAAAATGTATGCACATAAAAATACATGTTTACTGTTTAGGTACGTACATATATCTACTTTTAGGTACAACTTTTCGGCAAATTGGTACAATATGAAAATTTTATATTCATCACTAGTGCGAAAAAATAATAATGTGACGTCAGCGAAAGGGTGAATGCTGTCAAATCGAGAAAGAGGGCACTAGCGGTCGGCGGAAGGCCCACCTTTGTTTCACTGCATCGTGTTTAAAAACCTCTTTTCCTTGTTAAATCTGAGATTATTTTATAATTACAGATTAACAAGGGACGAAATTTGTATGGCTAATCTCTTTTTCTAATTACAGATTAGGGAGTTAAGTTCGAAAATGAAGATAATCTACTTATATCTGAACCTAGTATAAGAGCGTTAGCATAATAATAATAATAGATTGGCGCTTACACATATGTTAGTGTTTGGCCGAGCTTCTCCTCCGACTTGTGGCGTGCGCCTTGATGTTGTCACACAAAGCGGAAGGACCTACAGTTTTACGCCGACTCCGAACGGCGATTGTATTTTTTTTTATGAGAAGCTGTTTTTTCATGGCAGAAATACACGGTTTGCCATTGCCTGCCGAGGGACGACCGCTGTTAAGAAAAAACCTTTTTATATATTTTTTGTGATGTGTCTTTGACCAGGGCTTGAACCCAGGTGCTGATGAGTGAAAGCGCGCACTGCTTACCACTACACCACAGCGGCCGTTAGCATAGTGGAGATTAATGTAAACCCTAAGTTGGGACGGCAGTATGCTGCGACACTTCAAGATGTTATTATTAAATATTATTGCAACCCTTTGTCTGAAGCCGAGAAAGAACCTTGTCATCTTAACCTTTAACTGAGAGGTGGTGGTAAAATTTATCCTTTTTAAATATTTTTGAATTACTCTCCAATGTTGCGCTCCAGCAACTTAATTCTCTCAGTATCTTCTCATTTCGTTGTCCTTATTGATCAGTTATGTTTTTGCTGTGGAAGGTGTAGCGTAGGCGAAAAAATGCTGATGCTGGTGTAAAAATTACCACTCCTCAACCTTTATGTAACTTTTTCTTTGAAGGAAGGTTGACCTGTATTATTTACAATAAAATTTTTTTTAATATGATCTCTTTTATTTCTTGAAATATAAATATATTTGGCTGTGAAAATATGGCCCTTAAGCTTTAGATTAATTTTTATTTTACACATTTTTTATAAGTTTACTATGTGATGTTTTCGTTCTTGTGAATAATAAAGGCCTTGTGAAATAAAGTGCGACTTTTGTTGATTTTAAAAGAAAAAAATTAAATTTTGTATTTATTTTAACTCAAAAATCTAGCAGCTTAGAATAAAAGAAAAAAGGAATTATAAAAGTATCAATTTGTATTCAAATTTCTAACTAACCTTCGAAGGTGTAAGATTTACCACCACGTCACAGACTACGTCCAAAAAATTCACCTTTATAGTTAAAGGATAAATAAATATTCAAGGTGGAGGATCATAACCAGAGGTGGGCACTACCACAAACAAGCGTTAGCTAAAAGTGAGAATGTGTTAGTGTGCCTAATTCAATTTGCATGTTGTCGCGTTCTCATCGTTACGCTCTTGCTTTTATACGTACACGCGATGATTACGCTCTTTGAGCGTGTGCTCGTTCTCTGCCCATGCCTGATCATAACCATTAATCAGCAGAGTTCTCCTTTTTACCTCGCTTTTATTAGCTCGGGATGTAACTATGTAATATTGATGCGCCTAAAAGATGCAGCGATTTCCATTCTCAAGTTACATACCTGATGACAGTACGAATGGGAATTGCTTTAAACTTCTATTCTTAAAGTAACCTGATGACAGTACGAATGGAAGTTTTAATAGCGAGGTTTTAGTTTTTTAAACTATAATTTTATTGAATATCAAATAGATATATCATAGGCATAAAACCTCAACCCCTCATAAGTGTAAAACTCACGGCGAATAGAGCAAAAGAAGTAAAAGCAAACTTCACAAACGTTCTTCTCTTTCATTTATTTTATTTATTTTTCATTTTGACAATCTGGTAGCACATTCGTTTTATATCAATACGCAAGCCGCCATTCACTTTAGTTGTGAAATCAAGAAACAAAATATTGAATAAATAAAATATAACTGTTTTTCTAAGGGAAACAGTCAAAAAAATTAATAATCATGCCTATTACGGTATCCGACGGATGCCATTCGCACGAATCTAATACTTCACTCTCGCTTGTTATGACAGTGAGAATCAGATTAGATCCGTGCGGATGGCATCCGTCGGATACCGTAATAGGCATGAATAACTAAACAATTTAAATTGATTTGAAGTGTACTTAAGGTGTATGTTCGTGTTGATTTGTCTAATACATAGTGCTGTTTACTAAGCAAGTAAAACACTTTAATACTAAAACCCCTATGCTGTAAGCCGTCGTAGATTCGATTTTGCTACGAATCGTAAAAAAAATCAAATAAATAAAAAAATATAAATTTTGTACGAATAGCAACTCGTGGCGGAGCGAAACAAATTGTTTTAAAATATCAATAAAATAAAGTGTGTAAACGCCAAATTATGTATGTAAGTTGAAGTGTGCTTGGAAAAAAAAATTATTTTCAAATGTTTACAAAATTAACAGATCGAAGATCACAACAAATCGCTCACAATACGAAAAACTGGTGGAATGCATGAGCGAAAGGCCGGACATTGGTCGAGGCTTTGTAAAAGGAGCTAAAGAGGATGTGGTGAAATTTTGTGAAAGCGTTTCAAGAATTAAAGCGGCGCAATATCTAGTGGAATAGAGAGAGGCACTTAAAAGGAGGGAGCTTACATTTTATCATTTAAGCTAAATGGATCAGAACAATCCCCTAGCAATCTCCTTTGTATATTAATGCAACTGTTAGCTTAGGGATGCCGAAAAAACATCGATGCATCGAAAATATCGATGTTTTGCTTCGATGCATCGAAAATTTTCCACTCGATTGTATAAATAGTCGATGCATCGAGGCGTCGATGCATTGATGTGTTCTGTAAACTGACATCTCAAGTACATCGAATGGCCGAACATCGCTTTATCTGAAGTTCATAGAGAAGAAGATGCAGTTTTATATCTCATAAAATGTTAGTATAATAAAGTGCAAGTTTCAATAGCTTTAATTTTTAATATATTTTCTTTGGCTGACTTGCGCTTTGTTATACTAAAATTTTATGAGCTATAAAACTAGTACATACCGAAGAAGGTTCTTAAAGCTTTATTTCCATAGTGGAGGAAAACTCTATGCGTATCGATGCATCGATGTACGCCCCAGCGTTGCCACGGACACATTTGTTTTTCCTACCATTTGTTTACCTACCGTCAAAACACCCGAGCGATCTAACCCCGTTTAGGTCGGCGAAATCCATCAAACGTTGCTCGATTCTAGGGCTACATCTGCTCCGTACCCTTCTGCTCAGGGCTGGTATAGAGTCTAACCCAGGGCCAGAAATTTACACCTGCTGCGTATGCCAGAGACGACTGCATACAAACTCCACCTCGGTCAGGTGCACAGTATACCAGTAGAAAAGGTTTTTGTTTTTGTAGCTGTTTCGTGGTGAAAGTCCTTTATGGGGACCAAATTTCCCCACAAGAAATTGAGCGCATGGTTGCTTTTGGGTCCCAAAAGAATGAATATAAGAAAACATTAAAAAAATCTAAGGTAATACAATTATATGCAACTAAAAATAATCACAATAATTTGCACATATGAGTTAATGTGATAATCATGTGTAAAAACTCTTTTCAATTACTATTTTTCACAAAATAATTTTGCGGATCAGTTTGCTCTGAGCGCTTGTGTTGTTTACCAAGAAAATGCAGCCCTGTTGGTCTTTATTTCTGTATCGCATCGCGGTGGGTTTCTATTTCTTGGTAATTCGGTTTGAGAAATGGTAAACAAGTTATTGAAATTTATTTATTTGATGTGTATAAGATTTCATTAATGCAATTTTTTGTATTTTCAGACTATTAATTACAAGCACAGCATCATCAACGGTGATTGCAAGAACTACTGCAATCCCTGCGGTTTTTCCTCTTGGTAAATGCGTTCTGGTCGTGACCAAGGGGGGGTCTCCCAAATCGGCCGGGAATAAGATTAGTCATTTTAAATTTTATATCTTTGTTCGTCGACATTATATGACATGTCATCATTGCAGGCTATTGTTGCAGAACAAAACGCCGCAACCACTGCTGTGGTAAATATGTTCCAGCAGAACTGTCCACCGCCGTCGGTGTAATGATTTCGATAGCTGAACAAACGCCATCTCCTGGGCATTCCCACAGCTTGCCGACACTAGCTATTATATCACGTGTGAATGCAACTGCGGCTTAATTTGGTTATTAACAGTGCAATAGTACCATGTCATTGGCAAAAACACTAAGGGCTGCTGGCAAATATAGGTTGTAAAGTTTTTGGTATCGATGAACTTACTCGAAGAAGACGATGGCCGAAAACATATGATGAAACATCTTCTGGCATGCCTTTGACAATCGTTAAGTCAGACGGAGGCTTCACATACGATATTTCACACATGGCTGGAATTCGTTAGCGGACAGAGCACACATTTACAAAATATTTATCGTTCAGCAGAACGTGCATGCATATTCGATTCCGATTTTATGGGTCGATTACGGAGGACAACCGAACTTCAGTTGGTTGGCCAGTGGCTGAAATGGTATTACCGATGGCAACTAGCAACTGAAAGCCGGCGACTAAGGGCCGGTTGTTCAATGTCTGGTTATCACGACGTTTTCGACATCACGCATATAACATGTGATCGATAAAGCAGTCGTTGTATTTAACCGGAGCTTCTACCTCCGATTTGTGCTAATCAGAACAACCGGCCCTAGGTTGCTATATTGGTAAGTGCATTTTTGTGGCTGCCGGGAATTTTTGATTGAGATACTTTATTTCTTTTCAACTTTTTTTTAAATTGTACCACCTTCAACTTTATGAAACTTAATTATTGCTATTCATAATAAAAAACATTTTCATTTCAGTAGTGCTGTCCATCGGCAACCCAACTAAGGTTCCGTTCCCATCCATAATCGATCCATAAGTCATAATCGCACGAACTAATCAAGGCTATCATAGAATCCA